AAATAATTTAAAATAATAATTAAAAAAAAATTTTTAAAAATAAATTTTTTTTAAATAATTTTTTTTTTTTTTTTTTTTATTTTTTAAAAATTTATTTTTTTTTTTTTTTTTTTTTTTTTTTGTAAAGTTAATTAGATTTACCTTTTTTATACCTTTATCAGCAAGTAATTTAAATCCAATAGCTATGTCAGACATAAAGCGATGTAGAAGATCATAAACATTATTTGATATAGTTTCAGTTGAAATCAAGACTACGCCAAAATCTTGTAATTTATAAAATCTGGCAATGAATGCATCAAAAATCAATGTCGCTTTACCAACTGAAGTTTCACTAATGTATGGAGATTTATATTGTGAAATAATACTAGAACTAATAGGAACAAGCCATTTTCGAGTAATTTTAGATATTTTATCATTGCAATTAAGTGTATAAGAAATACTTGGATTCTTTGGTAATTGAATACGAGACGAGAACAGTTGTCCAAAAACAGAAAAATCACCATTTCCAAAGACGAGAGATGCAAGGGCTGAATTAAATCGAGCACTCAAATCTCTTGACCAAGTTGTGTGATCTCTAGCAAACTCAGTAATCACATTAATTGCTGGTCTGTCATCGATATATATGACTTGACAATCAATTGTGCTAGGATCTTTTATGTCATTAAAAACTTTAATTTGCTAAAGTAATAGATCAATTAGATAGTTTTTTTTTTTTTTTTACATTAGCATAATATTCATTAATTTACCTGCGTGCCATCTTTCTTAATCACAGAATACATGGAAAGCCCTTGATAAAACCTGTACTTATTATATAAATCAGAAATGAGTCTGTGACATATATAAAATTTTGATTTGAATTAGCATATTATTACAGTTGTATTCATTAAAATTTAAAATAATAATTTACATGGTATGTCCATCTCTCAATTCCCCGATAAGATTTTCAACGTCATACTAATATAATTATTAAAATTTTAAGCAAACTATTATATATTGTAATAGAATAAAACAGAAATAGAGACATTTACTATGAATTGATATTCGTATGAATAATTATTCTTTAATATCAAATCTAATTCAGATATTATATCAATTGGTCGAAATGTAAATCCAGGATTTGGTTCTTCTTTTGCTTGATCCAAATATGCATAGAATCCTTTGAGATATTCTTTAACTGTCTCTATCACCTAATATTATAAAACTTTTAACTATTTAAATTCGTCCATATCTTATTGTTAAAATAATAATTACCTTAGTTGCATTTTCTTTATTGTAAGGAGTCGATTCATAACAAGCTTTTACATCTGAATAATTAAGAAATTCTTTTTCTGAATAAATTGAATTGACATATTCGTCAAGTTTGCTACAGGCATCAACATTCGTTTCACGCGCAATCAAATGGGAATGAATCCTAATAGTAAATATAATAAGTATGAATGTTATAAGATTTATTGTTTTCATTTTACTGTATATGCGCGAAGTTTTTTTTTAAAAACAATTTTTGTAAAATTTATTTGCTTTATCGTGAACCAAAGTCATTATTTATACTAAAAATTGGCAATGTTCGATTTTAGGAGATCATAATTTTAGCTAAAATAAGAATAGTTGGTATGATTAAGCATTATCTAATAACAATCTATTTTTTCATTCTATTTAAAAAGGATTTTCATTCCTATTAATAACTTTGAAAATGAAATCGACCTTTTTTATTAATCCATATTAAAATATTGATTAATTCGGCTTCAGTTTTCATCTCGGCCAATTGAGGCGCACGCTTTCTATAGTTGTTCTCTTCACTTTGCAGTAATTTATTTCATGTATGCGTTTCGTAATTTGTTATGAATGAAATTTCAGGAAATTTGTACTAATACCGATCATTATACCAAGATCAATCAATAATACCTGACCCTATCGTTCCTGCTACGTAATACTCTAATTTTGGTTTGACAATCCCTGTCAAAAATTTGATTATCATGCAGAGATCGTCCAACAAATTACCTCATAATTCCCGTAAAGGAAATTTTATACTCGTCTATTTTATATCTGATATTGTTTTCTATTTTTCTTTTTCCAGCTAGATTGATGAATAGGTAACTTCGGCACCAAGGATTATATTAGAACACAAGCTCAATTTTTATCTGAATAATTTCAATATTCTTTTGCAGATTTTTTAAGCAATTCTTGAACAGCATAAATATTTTTTAAAAATAATAATCGAAAGTAGAAAAATCAATAGTATACAG